ACTTTAATTCGGATTTTCTTTGATTTTTGAGGAAGTTTTCAGCTCCTATCAAATTTCTAGAAAAGCCATCCCATCAAAAAATTTCCTGATTTCCTAGTTTACCAGACTTTCGGAGTGCATTCAGAGGTGATGGCCCTGCCGTTCGTCGTAGAGTGCGATCTCGGCCTGTCATGTCGATCTGCTAAACGAGTGAAATGACCTTAAAGAACGGGCGTCGGCTAAATTAACGACAGTGACCTGTTTCGGTTCCTGTAAAACACTGGTTCGCGGTGTCGTCAAATCTCTTTCCGAGGCCGCCGTTGCGGAGTCCTAAAGGCGGACAGTTAATCGCTTCAGACCCAACCGCCGCACGAGAATCTTTTATGTCCATTTAGGGTCTGGAGGTGAGAAAACCATGATGCGGGTGGAATTAGGACGTAAAGTTCTGTCTTACGAGTTCTGATTTTTACAAAGATAGACGTAGATAGATTTCCGCAAAGACCATCATGAACTGTTCAACATTCTAGAGGCCAGAAATCGTATTGGAGCCTTAATCTGCAAACTCTTTACTATAATATGCGCTTCACGAATTATTGTTCCTCCTTCTTCTGAGGGGGATTCCCAGAAAAGGCTCTCCGCTGACGGAAGTCGAGTAACCTGGATCACATCGCCGAGGAGGGTTTCCACTCCTGCTTGGTCACCCTCACCCTTTTCCAGGGGTTCAGTCTTGAGATAAATCCATAAAAGTGCGTTTTATTCAGCATTATCGATTCTTTTGGGGTGCGCCACACATTGAACTTCCATTCAGCATCGTACCGCTATTTGAATGTTAGTTGGAAAATACCTAGAGTGATTCAGCGTTTTATCTACTGAGCAAGCACAACACCTATTCTGGGTGCCGAGAGGAAATGCTTGCTTCCTTGGAAAGGACTTAGTCCAGGACCCTATCTCTGACCCGTACGCGCTGACAGCAGCATACTTTCCGGATTAGATTGATTGGCTAGGATAATGCACCCTTTATTTTAGTTACCATGGGTTCCATTCCATACTCTTCGGGCCATACAGTTGCCTTAAGGACACAACCACTTGCTTGTATGCCAGCTGTATTCGAGTGTACTCTAATAACTTGTCGAATACTTGTCCTTCAAGACAAATAGTCGACAAATCAAGCATTAACTGATACCAAAGGGCATCTAGCACTGGGCAGGACTAATCACAAGTTCGCGGCGAAGACTCTTGGAGGGGGTGTGCGTCATATGGCGCGATCCCATTGGCATTGGAGCGCACAGGCCGTAATTACCACATCCTGCTGTGGCCGGACAACTCGTCCGCGCAACACATTCTGTTCCGTTCCTCTTGCCTTGGCATCAGGCCAACGAAGCTACCCACTCTTTTTTAGATCTTTGGGACTCAGCGAGATTTTTGAGGGCCCAAATTATCGATCAATTGCTGAAGTCTAGCAGCTGTGTGACGGACGAGTTGTCCTGGATACTGTGCGCTCTAATGCCAATGAGATCGCGCCATATGACCGCCTCCCCTCTCGGAGGGAGTAGAGTGAGAAAGAACGCTTATAAACAAGATTTATCACCGAAACGCTCGACAATGAACCCGTGGGTAGTGGAGTACGTGGTAGTGTTCAGAGCCGCACTCGAACCACATCGATTACTCCTAGTGCCTTCTATCCGTGACAAGAAGGCTGTCCAAAAATTGTCGACATATCGGAGGGTTTACCAGCACGTATCACAGCTGTAGATGAACCGTTCACAATTTTCACCGCTACCTAGGAAAAACGCCTGACGGCTACGTGGCGCTTATTTAGAAGAGCTACGTGGCGTATTCGCCGCCACGTGGCTTAACTTTCTTTCCTGCAGAGAGTCCAGAGATACTGGTACAGTACTTAGGATATCCTCTACAGCTGTTTCCAGGAGTGGGACCCACGCTCTTTCGAACCTTGCGTTTAGTAGTACCACCACCTTTGAAGGCCACATTATTCGGAGAAATAGAACACTTGCACAAGAAGGAGCAGAGGTTCTAAGTACACAGGTTGTATCAATTTTAGGGCAAGAATACACAAGGAAGGTTGCTGAGGCCCACAATTGCTCACGTAAGTCCCCCCCCCCAGCACTGACTCTGCTTCGGAACTGACGCCATGGCACAAGGTCTGAACCTCACTGGTCTCTATGCTCTTTTGCCCCGAACATATCTTCCCCTCCGCACACCTCGTCGTGGCTAGCAGGTTTTGCTCTCGTAAGCTCGCGCAGTTCTCAAAATAGATTGCGGGGTTGCTCCGATTGTTAACTTTCGTAAAAATGCTGGGATGTGTACAAAACTTTCGCCCTGAGGCGTAATTATTGAAGTTTTTTTCGGAGTTCCATTTGGTTCGTCCTTGCGAGATTGCAGGACTTTACGCATGATATTCCCATAGGTTTCTGTCCTTTCAGAGTGTCTAACGAGGTTTCAGTAATGACGGTTTTCTAGCTATCTTCCCAAGAAACGTCCATCTAAATGTTAGTTTCGTGTGATAGTTACCCTCGCCTTCAAATGACCAGAAATTGTGCAATTGCAGAAATTGACGTGGCATTGGCACACGTGGCTAAATTCTCGATGAAAAGGTGACATCACGTGTGCTCAAAGATGTTCTTGAATCGATGCCACGTTAATGCCACGTCAATTTCTGCAATTGCACAATTTCTGGTCATTTGAAGGCGAGGGTAATTATGAGGAAAACTGCGTGGACATGCGAGTTTTTGTACTTCTGCAGGTCATAACTTCTTACAAATGTATCCAATCATAAAACAGATCTGAGCGCTAATATTTGCAGGTTTTCTCTTGCAAAAGATTACGAGAATTGCTTGATTAATTCAGTACATTAAAATGGATTCGGTCCCGTTGAGCAATTTTGGTCGTTTAACGCAGAGATTACTCTTGCCGCGTTCTCACGCCCCCATAACCATAGAATTGTGTGCGAATATTGGAACAATTTTGGAATCTGAATGCCGTTCTCCTTTTCAAAAAATCAGTGATTTATTGCCTTCAAAATTCCTGAATGCTTGTGCATCGGAACCTTTCCGACGTAGTTTGTAGAAGACAAATTGCGTAAAGGGAAGAAAGTTATATATTGTAAGGTCTTAAATCAAAAGGATATCCCTATGCTCCTCACAAAGTCGGCGCAGAAAATGTGGTTGATATTTTGTGGATCCCTATATGCAGTTTTATACAATCTTCTCCGAAAATCTCTCCGCTCCTCTCAAACTCACATCTATTTCACATGGAATTACAATTGAAGCCATGGTACTTGATCGAACTCGCTCAGGGATGCGCCGTGCGTTCGACATTCAACGCGAGTCACATCGCTCCATCGCTCCAGAACATTTCGCCAACAGGTTATCTATTCTCTGTTCACTGCTGATACGGCCCTTACGACCCCCCATTGGCCAGATACGACCCCCATCGCCGAGCTTGCTTCTTCGACGCACGCTTCACTCTGGAGCCACACTTTCCACGGTTACATTTCGTAATCCGATTGATGGGACTTGCTTTTGTACCACTTTAATTTTTCCTGTTCCCCATTTATGGTATTCATTTTCGAGTTCCTAAACACTCCTAAGGAGGGCTTCGAACTCGTGCAATTACGAAGAAAGGTTCATCACCATTATATTATTATGCAATAAAAACGTAAGTAAGTGTAATAATGGCTAACCAAAAAAATGGGAGAAGGAACTAGCGTGGAGAATCCGTGTCGAGGCGCACAGAACGCTGTCATCGAAGTTCCTTTTTTGTGAACGGTATTTTGCGAGTGATTGTTGCGGAACCCTTCATACGTCAACCGTCAACGGAATGTACCAGCAGTTGGAAGCAATTTTCCCACTGTCATACAAAAATCAAGCAGGTGTATCTTCTGCTTATTTATTCGTGCAAGCTATACATTATTAGCACGCTACCACCTCAAAAACCAGGCTCTGAAGAAGGTAAAAGCACCGAAACGTTGACGTAATAAAATCTATTGTCAATTTGGTGGGAGACTTAGTAATAACTACTATTCATCATTTTCGAAGCCGTCGAAACTATCACAGATAGTAAAAAGCTGGCCTATATACAATGTGTTGGTAGCTATATAACAGATAGTAACTGTACAAAATGCGATACCTAAAATAGTGAGCTGGTTTACTTTGAAGCAATTGCCTGCTTCATTCTGTTCAAAGCAGATCCAGCCTTGAACCATTCGATTTGTTGTTCGTTGAAGGTGTGGTTGAGTGAAACCTCCCACCTCAAAAATAACAGCAATTGAAGGTGGCGGCGACCATGGAAAGGTGGCACAAACCTTGGAGCCATCTGCCTTTTTGATTATGGCCTTGAGCGGTTCGCCTGGAGTGAAAGTCCTTCAAGCCAACTATCGAAACTTTGTCGCCGGAATCTATCTTATCATAGTCATCAGGATTCGCAAAGGTGAGTGGGAGCATTCCTTGCTTCTTCAAATTCGTCTCTGTAACACCTCATATTTTCAGTTGACATGGCTGACAAGGGAAGGCTTTCAACCCTCTGTGGAACTTTATGTGAAAACCCAGGTAAATAGATTGACTCAGGAATGATGGTTACAAATATGGTGACCAGAACGGTGCTACATGAACTTTTCAAGCAAGATGTGAGCAGTCAATGTTGGTAGCAAGCGCACAAAAAAGAACATGCAACGTCAACCTGGCACCAGATGGCGCCTGTGACGAAAATGGATATCATATACGTGATCATGCCCCCACTTACCCAGTGAAAAAAGTTTTAAAGAAAATATAATAAAAAGGCTGGCGGGGATAGATTAGCTCATCCAATATACCGCTGCACTACTTAATAGAAAGGTCCACTCCGAATTAGAACGGAAAGTTCGCACAGCAGTTCTGGACCCTTTATTGTAGCCATCATTTTTGACACTATTATTTTACCCAGGTCTCGCTCCAAAGGTCCATGGAGAGTTGATAGTCTTACCTGGTGATTCAAGTGATTTCGTCAAAACATACCGTGAATTCTGGCGAAAGATTTGGTGATGATAGCTCTTCCTCCGAGGTGTCGCGGCTCGAGGGCGGCATGCTCACGACTTGATCCTTCTCCATAGTTCTCATCTCCAATTACCACCCAGTTCTTTCCATGTGCTTTATAATAGCGAGCTGTTTCCGGAACAGTGCCGAATGTATCCGTGAGGTGGTTGCGAACCTTAAACCTTTACATAGCCCCAAGATCTATTGAAGCTCTGTGAAAGAAAGGCAGATCACCCCGAACGCATCAAGGCGAGTCATGGTGGAGAACTTTTTGATGGGGGTCGTATTTGTCTTGGCGCGATGAGGGGGAGTAAGATAGCGGCGTGAAACTTGATATTCCCCTTTTCCGCTAACATATATCTCTTCTCCGCCTGATCCCCGCACATTCCTCCCCCTCACTTCTCCACCGACAGTTTTGCAGGAAATTTGTTCACAAACATGACCATCTAATCCTAGACGACAATTCCCTCTACATATTGAAAGAGTAGACGGGGGGGGGGGGGAGTGAGGGGGAGGGGAGCAGAAGGAGATGGAGCGTGTTAGGTAGAAAAGGGTTCAACACTACATACTTATATCACTGACCAAAGGAGGAGAAGAATTGTGATGAACGGGTCAGGGGAAGGGGGCCGTAACGAGACTTCCGCTACAGTAGTCATGGCCGCGGTAGTTTACTTGACGTGATCTTTGCCCTGTACCAGGAGCAAAACCTTCCCCTTCTCATATTCAAATAAAAGTCACTGT